GGGTTTGGCGGCAAACCCTTACCCTTCACTGATTTTTTTTTTGGTTTTGGGCAGCCCCCGGTTTTGGGGTTCCGGGGGGGGTTTTTTTTTTTTCCTTGGCCAATTTAGGCGGGCCCCCTTGGGGGGGGTGGTGGGGGAATTTTTTCTTCCGAAAGCGGGGGCCTTTCCTTCCCTTTTTGGGATGGTTTTTTTTTGGGTTGGCGGTTTTCCGGGGTTTTACCTTTTTTGGGGCCTGGGAGGATTTTCAGGTGGGTTTATTTTTTTGTTCCCCGTTTTTTTTTTCGGGAAAAGGGGGGGGGGGGGGCCCGGGGTTTCCTTTTTTTATTGGGGGGCCTTTGGGAAACCCCCCCTTAAAATAGGGGCGGGCGGGTTAAGAGGGGTTTCTTGAAACCCAGAAATTTTTGGCAAAAAATTTTCATTCTTGATTTTGGGGTCCTTAAAAGGGAGGGGGGGTAAAATGTACAGGGGGGTTAAAAAAGACTTCTACAAATACAAGTGTTTTGATTTGTCCCCTTGAAAAAGCCGGGGGGGGGGGGGGGGGGGGCGCGTAGTTGCGAGGCCAAGAACGAGCAGTGACAGTGAGAGAAAGGCACAAGGTTTCTGTGCTGCTTTTATCGGTTGGGGATCAACGACGAGACCACGTAGTCTTATCGAGTCTACCGACGCAGGAAAAGCCTCATAAGCCACAAGCCAAACGCAACAAACACGCTCGACCAAGAGCAAAGGAAGACCTGGAATCAACCAGCAGCCACGCTTTTCGCCCATCCAGCCGGGCAAATTCCTCGTGAAGAACGAACACAAAGCGCAACGTAAAAAAAAGCCTTCTAGGATCGTAAACTCCTCGAGAAATAGAATCAAATTTCATCGAGAGATTCTTATTCATGTCGATCAGAAAGAGGGAGAAAAAAAGACTGACGCGTCTGTACATAGCACTGCTACGTAGGCAGGACCGACCTTGACCGTGGCGAAGAAGTCACGCGCCAGGTCCGGCTCGCCTTCCTCCACAGCCAGCGTTAGGTCGGGGAACAACGTGATCACCTGTGCCGCGACGCCAACAGCACACGCAACCACAAAAAGAAAAATGGTGATACTATAGTGACGTCACGTGCGAAAAAAAAGACAACATTTTTAGAATCTGAGCCATCAGTCCTCATCATTTGCGGCCGTGCAACAATTGCCGTCACATTCTGGCCCGTTCCAATTCGGTGACGGATGCCGCAAGGAATTGCTACGAGAGTCAAACCCACCGGTGTGTGCCCCACGGTTGTGTCCGGCGGTACAAATCACACGGATGCAGGTAACAATTAGCGCCAGCTGTGGCGGGAACAGACGTCATCATCCCCCAACACAACGAAGGCCACCATCGCCTGCGAGAACCTCGCCGCCGTTTTCAGAAACTTCTCGGGTGGCAATCTTCGCCCACGCCATCAGGCAACAGATCGAGCGTACCTGGGCAGCGGTTCTCTCTATCTTCTTGAGGAGCGTCACGCTCTCCCTCAGGCTCTCCCGGCACAAGGCGGCGGACCTCCTCAGACTCGCCGCACCCTGCGAAGAAAATAACGCCATTACAGCACACCGTCAAAAATTATATCGATAGGAAACGCAACGACATGGACAGGACATTCGTCGTCACACCATTTTTCCAGGTTAAGCACAAAAACACATCCCCTCCGACTGCTGTGGTATTATCTCGAACGGGTAGTCCTCTGCGATAGTATGTATGTTCTCTCTCAAGAACAGCTTCAACAGCAGCTGTATCTAGCTCGCTCAGGGATAACAATGTGTGGCGGGTCGTCACCAAGATCACAACCGACAATGAGCTGTATCTTCTACACGGATGGACATCTGTCAGACCTAGACTTGACATCGACACGAAGAGAGGTGCTTCGCTTGTTGCGTGTAGAGGAAGAAATAAATGGCGCACGCACACTCTTCGAAAAAAGTCCGGTCCTGACAAGCTCCACTGACTCTACAGTACCAACAAGCTGCTTTGCGTTCGTTCCCTTCATTCAGGGCTCTTCTACTTCGACAACATGCCTTCCCTCTCGCAATCATCGACTCTGTATTCGGCACGTTCAAAAGTGTGATGCCCCTGCCGTCCTCCGCAACATGTACGGTAACGCGGTACTGAACAAGGTAACCCCGTATGAAAAACGGGGCATTCCGACATTCCGGCAGTATTCACCTGGGGACAATCGCTGTACGTCCCGACGGCGGTTTCCATGACGGCCGTGATGCGGGCTTGCAGCTGTAGTGTGTGACGAAAAGAGAGTCACGCAGACAGACAGACAGCAGACAGGGAGAGATTATGCAGACGATGACGACGAAGCATGTGGTGATTTTATGGTGCGGTATGGTGCGGTATGGAATGGTATGGTATGGTATAGTACGGTACGGTATGGTATCGTCGTGCCCTACCTGCAAGAGCGGCACATGTCCGTCCGGAGGTGGTCTCGTGAGGCCTATCCCTTGGTGGTTGTGCACCGAAATCATGGCGGTTTCTCCCCCCTTGCTGGGCTCGTCGACCTGCATGCTGTTGCTCCTGTTCATGTTACCGCCTCCGCCGATGCCGTTGCTGTTGTGTTCTCTTGGACTGGCGTTGCTAGCCTCCTTGACGTCCTTGTTGTTTCGGGATTGGACGCCGCCGCCGCCGTCTGCCGCAGTGTCTCCCATGCCGTAGTCAAGGGACCCCAAAGGAGACTCATCGGGACCAAGCTGATGGACAGGTTACAAAAGCAGGGAGGGGGGTGCATGGACAGCAGGTGCCTTGTTATTTTATGTTGGTGGTGGAAGTGTGACGAAAGTGAGACACCCGTGGCCTGTACTTGTATGGGTGCGGAGTTGCAGAGACAGGATAAGTGGCATTGCAGTCATATCGTGGCGATTCCAGCAGTAACCAACTCGATCCCTCCCCCCCCCCGAAATCAACCGATGGCATAATATCTGCTTTGGCACTCAGCACACGCAAGGATGATGACGCGAGTTGTTCAAAGCTTGTTTCCCGCATCTGTTTCGGATAAACGATACCGTGGAAGTCCTGAGAGTACCGAATGAAACGAGAGCTGGAAACGCTCAAGCCCACTCTTCCAGACGGCAGTCGGCAGTCCGTCCACAATCCACACCATCACCAACACCCACGCCAAACACAGCTCGGAGTGAAATACAGCAGATGATGAAGACATCACATCATCAAGCATCACCATCTACTGCAAAAAAAAAGACACCGTGAAGGACGACGACAAACAACATGGGCACCCAACAACGAACATGGCATCGTATTTAGCTTGCTGCGTACCTCGCGGATGGAGGGACCCGTAGGGGTAAACTCGAACGACTTCCTAGCCGTCTTTGCTGGGGGCGTCTCCTGCTCGGTGACGATGGGAAGCCTCCCGCCCCAAGCACCGTCGCCGCCGTTGCTGCTGCTGCTGCTGGAGCCGCCGCCGCTTGACTACGATGGAGCATTCGAAAGACGAGGTCAACAGCAGCAAGTAGGAGAGTGCGGTCCTAGGGAGTTTAGCGATACAAACCGTGATGCCAAGCGGGGCACCCATAAGGGGGAGTCTGTCTATGCCAATCCACTGCTGTAGGGTTTACGCTGTTGTCTTTGGTTGTTTTCGGTTCTAAACCGGTGGTTTTGGTGGCAAGTGTCCAGGCGTAACGGGATACGGTTCTGAGGCTGCTGCCACTGTGCGGGTAATTACTCTGCTTTGCGCCGAGCACGCTACAGGCGAAAACGAACAAATCTCATTTCGAGGACGACAAAGCAGCAAGGGCACAACCTTGAGCAATTGAGCAAACGACAACCATCTCCCACACATGGCTAGAAAAGCAAAAACATAACTTTTGTGGAGGTTTCCGCGCCCGGCCATAACGGGAAAAAAAAGTCGGGGGGAGAGAACGAAAGAGAAAAAGACAAAACAGGCACAGATGCCCTCATGCACTACGACACTTCCAACATAAAGAGGGGGGCAGAGAGAAGGAATGTGAAGAGTGCAGCACGCCTTCCAAAGTGGTACTGTTCCAAAATAAAACAACCAGAAAACCCTCCAGGCTTAGGATGCAGGCAGCCTTCGCCAATCCGAATTCCAGACTACGATACAAAAAAAAAAAAATGCCGCGCCTAACAGCCGCCCCCACTCCCTTCACCTGCTGGTAAGGTTGCGAGCCAAGAGAATCGGAACCGCCGACCGCTGCCGCCGCCTCCGCTTTCGCCCCCCCCGCAGGAACCGGAGACACCACAAACTCGTAGCTTTCGGACAGCGGGGGCATCCCCTGAAACTGGTTTCGTGGCGGCGCCGTCGCCTGCTGCAACGGGGACGGTGGTGCGTCCCTGGCAGCCAAGTCTCCCAACCATGGGTGCCGCAAGGCCTGCGCGCCAGGGGGGCGGAAGGGGGTGGGCTTTATGTGTTGGTGATTCCACGAAATCCTTGCCCCACCCGCAACAGCGGTTAGTTGAGGGGGTGGCTTCATTCGTTGGAGGTACACCCCCCAGACAGTCTTTATTGCACCCGTAACAGCAGTTGCGTCGCAGGAGAGAACTCTCAACACTCCTCCCGCCTATTAGTAGCCGCTCCAACATCTTAGAGATCAAATTTCCGTGTGATCGCAGCAACAACACTGTGTTGGCGCTTCCACATTGACGCTCGACGCTGCAGCAAAAAACGACTCAACCCGTAAACGACCAACCATCTTCGCGATGATGGTATCCCATGCATTCCAAAGCAACATATTTCAAGACTATCAACAATATATGTTTCCCTAGGCACCTTGTCCACCGTTAGCCTTGCCCCCGCATCGAACGCCATCAGGTTCCGTATCAACTCCTTCGCCTCGGCTGACACTTTGTCCCAGGCGGCCCCGTGCATGCGGACGTGCTTCCTTGCACCCTAGGCAACAGGGGGGCCAAGCAGCAGATTGCGCACAACAACGGGGAGAGGATGACATGAGGTTCGCTGCTAGACGCTTGAAAGCACAGCAGAGCTAGCTGTGCATGGTGGTGTCGTCGTTCTGCAGGGCAGCAGTTGGCCACAGTGGGCATAAAACTCACATAAACACCATCGAGGTACCGCCGACCACAAGCACCGCCTGGCGATTATAATCCACAAAAAAAAAAAAAGCATCGCCTGACGGGGCCAGAGGAGACAACGAAGCCCAAACACAATGTGCTGCAATAGCTACCATCCCCAACGGCAACACGCACCAAGAAAAAAAAAAAACGCAAACCGGTCCCCTTCGACTGCAGTGGTTATATCTCGAACGGGTAGTGTGGACACCTTCGCCACAAAAGCTGCAATCTCCCAACGTGTGTCGAAGACGATTGCCTCGTTTCACAGCAGTCATTCTTTGAGTGTATGCATGCATGTTGCCTAAAAAGTGCCCACCACAACAGAAACCCTCGCCGGCGAGGCTCACCTGCACTTGGAACTCCGGGAAGCGAGCGACCAGCATGACGTACAGCATGGCCCCAAGGCTCCAGCAGTCCACGGGCGTCCCGTACGGCTTCCCCTTGCCCCCTTTCCTCTCCTCCACCTCCGGCGCCAGGTAGCTGGGGGTCCCGACGAATGTTCGTGCCACGGAGCCCCCCGTGTCAGCGTCTATCGCCTTCGACAGCCCGAAGTCTAGCAGCTTGGCCTGTAACGATCATTTTTGAAGGGTAGCAACGGACGGCCATGATTCAGGCCTACCTATGCCCAGAGCGGGTGAGGGTTTCACGTTGCTCGGAGTAGGTGAGCAAACTCCATCCAGATATCTGAGCCACGTCGCCAAACGTATTGGATGCACCGGGGCACGAGACATGCAGCGGAGCAGCGTAAATAGCACAAGATAATACACCTCCTGGACCGATTTTCAAATCTCGATTTCTCAACAACAGAAAGAGTTACAGCACCGAAAACGGTGGGGATAAAGCTGTCTCGTCGTGAGCTTTCCAAAAATGCATTGTTTCATTTATGCATCCTCTTTGTCATGGCGTAATCGAGCTTTGAAAATTGGTCCAGGGGGTGTGCTATCTTATGTCATATACGGTAATCAGAGCGGACACTGTGTGGCTCAAACATGGGTGGTTCCGGAGGGGGGGGGGGGGCGTACTCTTATGTTTTGCATGCCTCAACGGTTAGACCATTGACCTCGCATCCCTACAAAGCCGGGACGGAGCACGCCGGGTTCTCACCGGACCAGGCTCTCACATCACCAAGCGCGAAGCGCCGTGAGGTATTTGGCGAGTCGCATGAAGGGTGAGCTGCATTCTGCTAAGGGTGTTCGGCATCTTGTGCTTACTTCCTTGCTTACGGATGACAGCTGCGTATGACTTAATTTATTTTCTAGTGCTTTAACTTCCAGAGACAGTTGTAAGCACTGTGTAACTGCCTCGAGGATGCTTGACCATTTTAACACAACGTGGTTCGATCATCCCCCTTGCGCGGAGTGAGGGTTTTGGCCCCCCCACAACATGTTTTACTCGCCCCCCTTTAGGGAGGGGGGGGGGGGGGGCGTATCGACGAGGCGCTATACATACGTCACCTCGTGCCAAAGGTGAAGCACGCGTCGTCAATACCGTACCGCTGTCGATCTACTCATACCTCTGGATAGAGCCCGTCTGGCGCAGTCCTGTCGATGATCATCACGTTCTCGGGCTTGACGTCTCGATGGACGATCGACTTCGAGTGCATGTACTGCAGAGCCCTCGCCACCTGCCAGAGGGAGGGGACGGCAAAAGCAGCAAGAGCGCGTCAGTAAGCAAGCACACAACATGCACCAAACAGCACGCAGCAATCCCAATCCATGCGGAGAGTGCGACTCAGGTGTCGCCTCCGCTTGTTTACCGTCCCCATAACACTTGGCGGTTTTGATATAGTGGGGGGGGGGAATTGCGTGAGGCAGTTTTAGCTTCTCCTTCTTATAACCTAAAGCAGCTTGAACCAGTGGCATAGCAGCTGCTACTGTAAGACGACACGCACCACAATAGCAGTGATACTTCTACTCCCCCCCCCGAAAGCATCTCCTGTGGTACATGCAAGAGCGTGACTCGACAGCATCCACCTTGCGCTCGCGGCACCGACCGACCTTTAGAAGTGGCGTTACTAACCTCTTGCCGGACACCCTGCTTGCAAAACACGCAACACACACTATCCTGATACAAGACGGACACCTTGCCCCTTCATTGGCCAGCGGGATAATGCGGTAGATGCTAAAAAAAGAACACACATACACACAGCCACACCGCACTGTGGCTCCCTTCCAGGGACACTACATAAAACCCGCTGGCACTGACGTCTTTTCATTGGTCAACAGGCTAGCGCGGTCGAGATGCTAATGAGCAAAAGCACACGTACAACTTCTGCCGAGCGAGCGTCATTTGCAACATCATCCGAGACGTCTTGCCTGGACGAAGACCGGTCGGGCTTCACTCTCGCTGAAGCTCGCCTTGGACAGGATGGCGTCGAACAGCTCCACCCCGGGAGCGTACTCCAGAATGAGCACCAACTGTTACCACGCAGGAGCCCCCACAAAAAAAGAAAGTGAAAACGAGACAAAAAATAAATTTGCATAGTGACAAAAAAAAAAAATTAAATTAAAAAATTAAAATAATAACAATAATAATAATCGAGGTGGTAGTCAAGGGCAGAGAGAGAGAATTAAACGTAATTGTTGGATTGGATGAGGCCTCCTGCGCCGGGGAGGAGAGGAGAAATGTGGGGTATTCGCGGCATGCCGTTGAGTCCGGAAAAGTATTCGCCACCGCCGCTAACTACCACTTTTCTAGTGATGCCCCCAAGGCAACAGACAGCGTTAGTACGGCGGCCTCCATCCGAATCAAGGACGTGAGAGAAGACACCAGGTGCTTCAGCCGAGCTTATTCTCTGAATGGACTTGAACGTGCCGTGGTTACCTCAGACAAAACACGTCTCACAAGACACATCTATCTCCGGAGATCGCACACCTGCTCCGGGGTGTCGAGAGCCTCGACGAGGTGAATGATGTTGGGGTGTCGCAATCGCCGCATGATGTCCACTTCCCGCATCAACCTGTCCAAGGGAAGCACCCCAGTCGCACAAAATAAACAAAAAGCGGTCCATGTGAGGCGAGAAGATTGTCGTGCGGCGAGCATCAATGTCGGCCAGATGCGGCGGGCAAGACTTGAGTGTGCTTGCTGCGGTGTTCCTTTGCGCTTGCACGAAGCTCGAAACTGCGTTCGTTCCACATGGACCAGTGTATCCCCCCCCCCCCAAAAAAAAAAAAAAGAGCACGGTCACAATAACAACAGCAAACAGCACATGACGCCAGCGGCTGGCTGACCTCTGCATGCTGAACCTCTCCCGGAGCTTGAACGGCCGCAGATCGATGATCTTGGCCGCGTAGATCCTCCCCGGCACGGGGTCTTCGCCAGCCACGGGGCCCCCCGCACGCTTGGGAGGGCCGTTGCCGGGGGCCAAGCGGCACTTCCACACAGTCCCCGAAGCTCCGGAACCTACCTGTTCCAGCAACTCGTATCGGCTGGAGAACGAGCGGGGGGAAAGGGGGGGGAGGGTAGTCATGTTTCGCCAGGGGGGGCGTACTCGTGTTTTGCCATGCCTTCGCTGTTTGCCCATTGACCACGCGTCCTCGAGCGGTCGGAGCATTGTTCCCACAGGGCTGATGGATGGCCAATCGTTCCTTTCTACTTTGCCAAAGGTGGCTCATTTTTGTTCCGGGATAGAAAAAAATCTTTTGAGAGAACTCAACAACACTGGCGATTGCGCCTGACGTACCTTGAGAAATCATCGCTGTCCTGGCCTGTCTGCATGCGGTGCTTCTTAGACTCGATGCCCGACAGCGTGTCAACCACAGGGGAGTCGGGATGCTCCACGGCCACCGCGTCCATCTTTGCGCCGCCAGTTCAAGTTGTGTCGATTTGCTCCTAGGCGCTCACTCCTTGCTGAACAGAACCTCCTGATGGGCGGAACAATCCAAGGTTTGGAAACACAACTACATGCGTTAGCAAACCTACCGGTTGTGGGTTCCAATCTCTCCGGAGCGACAACCTCGCAATCTTGAGGGGGAAGTCGCGCAGGTAGTCACGCAGTAATAATGAGAGCGGTGCGATTTCCCCTATCCAATTCGCTCATGCGCATGTTTCCGTCCGTCGCTCGCAGGTCCTGACAAAGACATCTACCGTCGCAATTGCTGACATCTAGGCCCGGGTTCACGTATGCATAGAATAAGTTGTCTGCGGTCATAACTTCATTTTGAATTTGAGAGAGTTTCCTTCTGCTAAGGGAAGGGTATTCACCGACGAGTCCATTCTACAAAAAGCGGTAGTATGCACACGGTAGCGGAGAGTAGACGCCCACCAGCGGTGTACATGGAGAGCAGAACAAATGCCCACGCTGTCTGCCTCCAACTCCATCCAGCAGCACACAACAACCAGCTGCAGCGCCGGTGTATTTCTCAGAAGGCATCACAGCCAGGAAATCACTCTCAAAGCGGATGTGTTGACGTCTGTTGTTCGGTGTGGCGTGTTATTTTTATTTACTGCAATAGAGACAACCGCGTCGTTCGTTGCACTACCGCACTGCTATTGGTTGCACTGGTCATGTCTTCCTCTCTTCGGATGCGGTTTGGGACCCGCTCCCACCAGAGGGCGAGCCGTGCAAGACTGTGACACAGCAGTCTCCGACGATTTGAGGTGGGTTGATCATGCACAATATATACATCTACAGGGCGTATTTAAAACATCAACATACACAGTGAGTGCATTTCCTTGTTCCGTTCTCGATAACGACAGACGCACACCGCCGAAGAGAATCATGACGCAAACAGCTCGGTTTGTGTTCATCATCATGCTTGGAAGAATTAAAGGTAATAGTAAATGTTGACGCGATGTACGCGAGATGAATGTTAAGGTTGAGCAAAACGAAAGTTGATGTTGAGGGCAAGCTGGTCTTCAGTTCACTCCCCCGCCCCCGCGTGCGCCCCCCCCCCCTCTTCTGTGCGGTAGCTTGTCTTCGTGTTTGGAAGGGTCAGAAGATCTCCTTTGGCATGTTTTCCCGTCTTGACCTTCATGCGCATTTTTGCGGCGCGAACACTGCTACCAACAGAACATGGTTGGCATGCACCCAACAGCTGTGCTGTCTTCGCGAGCGTTCATCTTCCACTTCCAGTTGGGAGAGAATCGACGAGATATGGAGGAAGAGTGAGTATGTCCCTGGGTTCGGGGGAGTAGTGGATGCAAATTCTCCTCCGGTTTAATTACACATGAAGATGGAGAGTGGCGGACAAACTAACGGGATGACGGGACAAATAAACCATCTGTACCGAATAAGCCGCATCCCGCACCCGAGGCGAGGCAGCCTTCGGGCCACAACAGCAGTCGACATCAAGAGAGGAGTACGGAAGACGCGATTCGAGCTCCGTGAGGCGGAAGCTACTTCAAAGATCCACAGGAAGCACGCCGTGGAACATGTGGCGGGACCTCGTCCGCACCCTGCCTGACTGCCTGACAACACGAGACGTTTGATTGAATGCCTGACTACACGACACACGAAACTTCAAAGAGCGGCCAAAATAAACAGCAGCAATCGCCGAAAAAGACCCAATGCATGTTTGCGTGTTGGCCGCGATGACAAAGCGAATTAACCTTTGAATGCCGTAGAGCTAAGCGCACAGCACAACCTACACACACCCTACTTGTAGTGGTCGTATGCGTATGTACGCGTGCGTATTCTCGAAAAAGTGCTGGCTTTATATATATAATCGGAACGTAGGCCCCCGTGGGAATATCGCACTCACCGAAAGCACGTACCCGGAAAATACCGTTTCTAGTTGCTCACGCCAGGTGAAGCCTGCCAGAGCTCCAAGCCCAAAGGTATGATATGTGATAGACGACGTGGCTCACTCTCTCCCGTGGTAGGCTGTGTGTAGCAGCAGGTTCCCTGCTGCTGCCTCGTGTACACCACGTTGCTTCGCTGCTTCTCGGGGGGTACGCGAAGATCGACCTTGGATACTCATACCCAAACCATGCTCTCAGTTATGGTGCCCCCCCATGGTGACGTCATCTGACGGGCTGACCGTCTCTGACTGAACATGCGAGCGCGTACTGGCAACTGCTAAATTTCCGGTTCGAATCACACGACGCGCATAGGCTTTGCGGTCGAAGTGGTGGCACAGACGTGCTTACGTGTCTCTTCTTGTTGTATGCTATTCAGCATGGCGGTGGATAGCCGGAGGCAGCCCCTTCTGCACGGTGCGGTTGCTCTACTGCTTGTTACGGGGATAGTGATAGGGTTCATCACCCCAGCGCAGATTAGCACCTGCAGCGCCACATGTCGTCGGCACCGGGGCAATCATGATTGCGCGGGGGTAGTATCCTGCCGAGCACAGCGACAGGTCGGTGGTGATGCAAAGGCTGGTGTTGAAGCCGTTGGTACGGCAGCAGCAACGAGAGAAGAAAGCGATTGCAACGACGAGCAATCAAGCGGGAGGTGGCCTTGGCGAAGGAACAGCACCAGCAGGCGGCAGAGAGTGGGGGAGGCGGAAAAGAAGCAGCTGTTCACCTACGACTGGGACAATGGCGACCGGGTCGTTTGGAGCGCCTCTAAGAGGAGCAACGTCGAGGTGGTGAGTTTCCACGGTGACATGTCGAAGTGGATATGGTTGTGTCGTTGAGTTTGTGCTCGAAACTACAATAGTACCTGGTCGGTCGTGCCGACAAGTCATCGTTATTTGAAATTAATCCTCCGATGCTGGCTCTATTATCGTTAACGAAATGAGTTGATACTGCTGCTGTACGCCTCACGTTTGCACACTTATGTAGCCGCAGAGCTATGCATGTGTACGGGTGGTTAAATTAGGGCGCAAGAGCCGAGTTGAACACGCCGGGAGGCTGTGCGTTGGTTAAAAGCCTGCTGTCCGACCAGACAAACAAGAAGAGCAACTAATTTTTGGTGCGGTCGGAGACCCGGTTTACGACTACAGTTGTCGGCCCGGTTTAGCGGTTCCCTGTTTAGCGGGATGCCCTGAACTCGAGTGCAAGGTAGCAAGCAGCCTTGGGAGACATGTGCAGGATTCCTCTGATTCTAGATACCGTTTCTGTCTTTATTCCGGAGAATGGCTTAGCCTCCCCCATGCCGCCCCCTCACGGGTTCCCAGTTAATGCCATTTAGAAGTGTTTTGTGTTTTCAACCGCACTGAGACTTACTGAGGCTGACGTCTTTTCATTCGCCAGCCAGTTAGCGCGTTCGTGCTAATACTAAAGACATACACACCATGCGACGCGTGGATGGAGAACTGTGCAAGCTCAGGGTTTTTGTGTTCAGGAGACATATTGGATAAAGCATACAGTCGGGGAAGGTGGGGTAGGGTTGGGGTTAGGGTTAGGGAATACGGTCTGCGTACCCCCTCCCTGTTCTATTTCCTCATAGTACTGAATTTCCCGCGAAGGTGGTCTGCTGTACAAGGCCTGCAACTACTGTTTGCCCCAGATCCCAAACCTGTTTCGAGCGTATGTGCACGTGGTAAGCACTGCTGAGGCGACCTTTCAACTCTGTCGAAACCAATCGTCGATGGGTGGCGAGCATTTACAGGGTGGGCGACCTTACGCCTTTCTTTGTCGAAAGCAATGGTTGATGCAGGAAGCAAGACACATCAGGAGTCTTTTACAACCACACTCTTCGTGCATCCCGATTAGCACCCTATACCCTAACCCTACCCTACCCAAACATCACAAAGGGACGTGAGGTCAGTGCACCGTTGATTGATGCTAGGTAAGCGCTATGTTCAAGGCATGTGTTTTTTACCGCGAGGGTTGAGCGACAATGTCCTGCAGGGTGCTGCACCTACTTGAGCTCAAGTTTTGCCACTGAAGCAGATAGAGAGACGTCAGCCGAAGAATGGCTGTGCTTATGTTCTCGGTGTGTAGCGCCGGATTTCCGTTGCCGTGCGGGCCGCTCACGGGAGTCACAGACCAGCATTCCGTTCTTTAGAGCCCGGAATGGGAAAACCACCATTTCAAGTCACTTGGACTTGGGATGCATTTTAGACGTTTCGATTCTCTCCTCGTGCAGCTTGGCGAGGAGTTGCGATTCTCACGCTCTTTCTGGAGCTCTCGCTTTTTCCCTCCCTCTCTCCCTCCCTCCCTCCCTCATGCCCCGCCTACGCATGGCTCCACAGCCGCGCACACTCTCGCTCCACATCCATGTGCCTTGAAGGGGTGTACGCCCTTTCCAACTTAGCCGTTCACAGGACAGTGCTTTTTCTTGCTGCACTGTTTCTGCGTTGTGCATTATACGTACGGGTTTATTGGCAGCTGGAACGTCCGGTTTTAACCTGCATACCACGTACTCAGTACATGCTAGTGTCGCGTCTCCAACTTCCACGCATATCCTAATCTGTCCAAGAAATCCCGATACGTTGCTCCCTGGTTTGTTCCTATTGGGAGGGGGGGGGGTACTCATAGTCGTGCATGCCGTAGTCGTTAAACCATTGACGTCGGGAGGGGGGGGGGGTAAGGAAAGCGTAGGAATAGACCGTGGTGCAGAAACCGTGTGGAAAGCACGGGTCTGTCTGGAGGCCAAGCTCAAGGGAAGAAGCGTTGAACACGAGAAATTTTCGATTGGTGATGACGGAACGGGTGGCTTCGACCAACCTGCTGCTGTTCCCAGCGTTGAATAGAAATCTCACCAAATTGATGTTGTGAACATTGTCTATCTCCAGGGCGAAGGAACACGTAAGCTAAAGGACTATCTGGCTCTGCCGCCGACGGAGTACTCGCTGCTCGATCCCAAGATGATCACCCGTTTGTCCGAAGAAACATTCAGGTGCGGCGGGATCATGGTAGTTCCTCCTGGGGGGGGTTCATAGAACAAGCAAGCGAGAGGGCCGACCCACGCCTTCCAATCGGATGTTGTATGTCGTCTTGGATCCTGTTTTGGTGGATCGGGAACAAACAGTGTCTCTCGCGGCCGTTTTGATGTTGCTGGGCATATTGAGCCACTGCCTTTTCAGAGCTTTGTCAAGAACGATAGCAACAACAAAGCTAACCCCCCGTTTCTATTTCGTTATCCTCGTGGCCGGTGTTGAAGGCCGTGGGGCAACCATGGAACAAGCTGCACCTCGAAGCCCGTCCTTCTCTCCCTCCGCCAGTGTTCCACTGCTTCACGTGTTGCACCCATCCCGGATAAACAATCACGGTTAAAGGTGTAGTTTCTCTCATCCTACTGCTGCATCTATGTTTACCATAGCACTGAAGTTCTCCGTGACCAAGATGACGAGGCAAGGCGAAAAGCCCGGCTACCCACCCCTATACTATGCTCGTGGCGACAGACATCGTTTATCGTTTGTTTCGTGACGATACACGAACTTGTCTTGCACGCCCGTTACACACGGTCGGAGCTTTCGATGCTGTCGGTGTTTCACAAGCCCCCCCTGCTGCTGCCGTGTTCCCCCAACGCACGCCATGTAAAACTCCTTGAACCCCAACACCAACCGACCTTGATGCAGGATGGATGGCGCCACGATGAGCATTGTGGGGACGAAGATCAAGCCCGTCCTCTTCGTTCGCGTGGAGGTCCAGCCCGAGAACAGCATGGCAAACATCATGGTGGAGAGGGTCGAGCTGGATGGGTCTGAGGCGGTCCGCAGCGCGGGAGGTTCCTTCAACGGTGAGGGACGACGACAAAGCACCGAACGGGTTCTTAAAAAATTCTTGTTGTGGGATAAGCGGCAGACAGACATAGCTGGTTGCCCTCTAGTAACGTGTTTCCTGTTTCCTTCCGCCTGCAACGTTTGGGACAAGTTGCCTTTGCGGTTTTGAACGAACAGCGGAGCCTATCCAACTGTATTGTGTGTCGGTTCGGGTCTAATAGGGTAAGGCCCAGGTGATCGGGGGTGAAATAGACTTGCTTTTCCCCCACCAGTGGGGGTAGTGGTAGATGCGTTGTGTTGTGTTGGAGTATTTCGTAGAATGCCAGGGTAAGAACTGTTCTTCGTGGGTTCTACTTCTCTCCCCCCAGAGATGGCGTGGCGTAGAACGAGGATTTGGAGATGTATCGTGTTCCTCTGGAGTCCGTAGCCGTAGAGAAGAAATAGAGAGAAGAGGGAGAGATAGAGGGGGAGAGAGAGAGACTGAAACAGAGAGAGACGGAGAGAGAGAGAGAGAGAGAGAGAGAGAGAGAGAGAGAGAGAGAGAGAGAGAGAGAGAGACAGAGACAGACAGAGACAGAGACAGAGAGAAAGAGAATGTTTCACACCAGTACGTGGACAAGCACGTATACACAAGCAGTCGGCAGATATATATATATATAGAGAGAGAGAGAGACAGGCAGACAGAGAGACAGGCAGACAGAGAGACAGAGACAGAGAGAAAGAGAGATCGTTTCACACCAGTGCGTGGACAACCACGGATGCACAAGCAGTCGGCCGTCGATGACCGGACAAACGTTGTTTTGCTCGCAGTTTCATCAAGCACGGTGGTGTCTTGCGCAAAGAAAGAGGGCACTCCGGCGGACGCCAACATCATGGAACTCCGCGCGTCGTCGAACATCGCGATCGAGCTGCTGGTCCCGAACGAAAACTTCGTGCCCGTGGGCGTGCTGCGACGGGCGGGAAACTTCGTTATGCAGCGAGTTGTGGACATCGGCCTGCCCCAGGTGAATAATCATCGTCGGCCGTGGTCTGTTTGGAGGGCCGAACTATCGTTTGTCGTTGTTGTAATTGTTGTAGTATAATAGGCGTATCGGCTACCTTGCTAGCTTTGTTTCGACGTATATCGCGCACCCAGCACTGTGATGTCGTACGTAGAAGCGGTGAAATTATCTAATGAAGTCTGAGGTCTGCTCGGGGGGTGAGAGTGGTGCAGAGACTCCGGCGCAAATTGTGCTCAAGTCATTCAAACATGACGGTAGAGTTACGGCGGGGTGGCGTACCGTACGGGCCTGCTCTGGTTTGCCATGATCTGCTGGGATACCCGGCACTCCACACACCTACCTGCTGGGACTCTCGGGGTTGCAGCACGACGGGGACCCCGGCAGGGAATCACCCTCTCCTCGATCTCTCTCTAGTACTAGACTACACGAGGTCCTGGAGTCAATCTATCTCTTTCTGGCAGAAGTCCCTATTCAAGGTCCTGGGGCCAACCGTAATCTCTGCGCTCCCGACAACTATTGTAGCTGTCCGCCTGCAAACATTACTCGCCGTTGAATGCACCCCCTCACATGTCGCTGGCTTGCCGCGTGACGCCGCAGTTTACGTATTTCTTGAGGAGAGACTACGCTAGATGGGCGGAAGGGGACGACGACAGGGCTGCGGTTGCCGCGGAAGGAGAGTCTCTGATTGCGACAGACGACATATAGCCTAGGGCATCTAAATGTGTGTACGCTCTGGACGGTGATCGCAGCATAATGCTGTATACGGTAGTTGCAACATGTCGTCTGTGTGTATGCTGTCTACGGAATAGCAGCAGTAATATCTAGGTATGCTGTCTACAGAACAGCAGCACGTGTGTGTGTGCTGTCTACGGAATAGTATGCTGTCTACAGAATAGCAGCAGCAACCTTTTTGGTGCCTCGGGTGGAGGATGCTCAAGGGCGAGCAACCCTTCCTCCGAAACGCTGCCGGTGCGTCTGGCCCACGCGATGTTAATTTCACCCGGCTGCTGCTTGCCATCATTTGTGCTTTGCTTTGTTTTTATGGTGCTGAAGGAATTTGGACGAGAGGTATTTCCACGTCGTCGATGCTGTGAAAAGAGTGATGAAAGTTGTGGGTTGGACCTTTTTAGCATCCTAACATTTTGAGCAAGTCACCTGGCCGTTTTTTTTTGTGTTTTTACGACGTACTGCTGTATGATGCGGCCGTTAATACGTTAATACCCACGCAACACATGCGACAGCAGTTTTGACGGTGTGAGACGGTGTGAGTACTTCTTGTTCGTTGTAGCTCGTGATCGCCTCAGGTGTTAGTTCGGTCTTTGCGGGTCAGACGCTAACGTTCGGCAGAGACTGGGAACGCGGCCTGCCTCGGGCAACCGTGTTGGTCCTCCAAGAGATTCTCGCTATTTTTTTCTTGTAAGGTGGGGGTCCTTGTCATAAAGCCGACGTTAGCGTGAATGGAAGACAGGGATTGGTTACTGGAATTGATTTGTTGTGTAGTCTAGCTATCGTGAGTGTTTCGGTCGGCGAAGTGCTGGCCATGTTGGGTTCCCGCACACTTTCCGCATCAGGTGGTTGGTGGTTGCCCAGACCTCCCTCCAACGATTGCGGGGCAATGGCGTGTGATAGGATGGCAGAGTGGAGCCGACCGATGGTAATGGCAGCAGCGGCGTAGGCAGTTAGCGCTCACGTTAAGTTGTAACCCACCATGCTGTGTGGAGGCATGTACCTCCTGTTTGGGGACGGCACGTGGACATTTTCGAGAAATGACCACGACTGCTGTCGTGAAAATGTAAAGGCGGTAGGTATCATGCGTATGTTCATAGAAGAGGACACATCCCTCAGGCTCTACCGTCGTCTGTAATCGGCCTCTGACGAGCTTGTTTGCCGTGGAATCACTGTAGAATGACGGGCGTATGTAGCATATGCGTAAGGCTCGAGTGTTTTGAGTTTCGTCTACATAGTCCCATATCTTGTGGCACCAGCTTACGACATTTCGGTGATTTTGTTTAGTTTGACGAATCAGCCGCGGCCACACAGACACGATTTTTTTTGACTTGGTCTAAAGTATCAGCCGCGGTTACACAAGTAGACGGTCGCGCAGGAGTTTAAGGGTTTGAACAGGAGTTTAGTTTTTTTTTCGATATCATGCCCCATCTTTCTTTGTGTTCCTTTTGCGGTGCTTATTTCTTTTTTGTTTTGTCCGGAGAAAGCTCAGCCTTCCCTTTCCCTCGTAAAGAAGTCGATTTGGGTCAACTCACGAATTTATTCGTCGTTCTCCACCGCAAACTACAGAGCTTTTTGAACTCACCAGAGAGAGAATCGAACTCCAAGCTTGCCACTAGGAGGTTAACGAGGGTAGACCACTAATACAGAACCGGGCTGCTGATTTAACCCGCTTAGGAAATAGCCTCTCCCAGGGTAGCGCAAAACAGAGGTTCTTAGAGGCACGACTCCATTCAACACTCACTCATCGTCCTGTTCAGAACAACTCGGATGGTGTGTCCTTCCGTGTGATGTGATGGGTAAATGAACGTTATGCAACCGCTCTAGAAGTGCACGCAAATATTCGTGGCAAGATATTATATTTTGTTTGCTTCCGGGGGTTCGTTCCGTTCGCGTTCAATACGCGAAAACGAACGATCCCCAATCCAGCGTCCGTCGCCAGCTTTCAGTTGTGTGTCAGGACAACGATAACTACCACAAAGCAAGAGAACGAAAGGAAAAAAAAAAAAACTGTTGTCGCGTGTGGTCCTTGATGTTGCTAATACTGCCCACCAAATGGAGAACAAGAAGAAGAGCGATAGACGAACACAACAATCTCATCGTCGGGCCTACAAGCTGACCAAACGAAACAAACAGCTTACTGAGACAACAAACAGCTTGCGTACGACTGCGAGAATAACGCTGCTGTTACAGTAGCCAAGCCAGCACCGTGTCGTCACCAACAGCAGCAGCAGTCTAAGCAATGACAGCACCGCATCGGCACAGCCGTCCGTACGTAGGAACGACAACCAGACCAAAATACAACTAGCCCCAAGCAGACGTTACCGAGTGGAATCGACAGAGACAGAGAAACTTGATCCCTCCGGAGAACCTTGCCAAAGCAACCAACACTTGGTAGATACGTACGCGATGCTAGAGGACCGATCACAAACTTTTTAGAAGGAGAAACTCACGCACAACAAAATCCTCCAAACCTAACCGCTTTGTTTTCTACCCTCCCGGGCCACAGCAACAACATGGCGTGGTGCACCGCCGTCCCCGCAGTCGCAGCGCGCATCCAAGCGAAAAAAAAAGTTTGAACGTTCTCCCGGAGGAAAGAGTGCTCCATCCCTGTCGCGACAGCAAACTCGTTCGTTCCCCCCGGGCTTGGCCTGCGGCGCCCCCCCCCCCCCCCTTCTCTCTGCCGCCCTACTATAATACCGTAGGTGACACAAGACACCACACACCCTGGACCGATATCTTACAGCTCGCTTACTCAACGTCGAAGAGGGTGCATCAACCATGCGACACGTTTTCGGAAAGCTCTCGACGAGACTCCAGCCATTTTCGGCGCCGCTGCTGTCTTCTCATGCAGAGTATCGGGCTCCGAAGATCTGTCCAGGGGGGTGTGATGTCTTGCGTCACGTACGGTCATGCTGATTTCACCAGTCCCCCCCACGGGAGCTGTTCCTGCCGCCCCCTCTGCCCTGGTAACCCCGGTCGCCGCCGCCGCTGCTACCTCTGCCAAACAGGGCACACGCCACGCCATTGCACAGCACGGATAGTCAAAAAGGGGCGGACGTCAAGTCGAGTCGAGTCATGCTGATAAACTACTGCTGCTGCTTCAAAATAACTGCTGAAACTATTATTACGGCAGAACATACACAAAATGCACCAAACACAAACAAAAATCGACTTGTACCTACAAGTGGATATCCCTTACAAGTGGATATCCCTTCCAAAAAACAGCAAGACGTACCTGCCCCCGCCGCCGCCCCTGTCGCCTCCCCGGCCGCCTGACCGTCCCCCGCCGCCCCTCCCCCTCCCACGACCCCGCCCGCTGCCCCAGTCGCCACCGCCGCGGCCGCTGTAGTTAGCCGGATCAGGGGTGACGCCGTTTGCGGTGTCGGTGGCAAGCTGCTTGAGCATGTTGACCAGGGTGTAGCTGCGCACCGTCAGGTCTTTTGTCTTCCCCATGATCTGAGAGGGGGGCGGGGGCGGGGGCGGGGGCGGGGGCGGGGGGGGATGCTTGTGAGAAGATAATTAGAGACACGGGGCGTTGCACGCTTACAGGAAGCTGGCAAGAGAAATGGTCTGGAAATGGCTAAAGCAAAAGACACCTAACCTCGAGCAGCAGCTTGCGCCCGAGAATAATGAACATCATCGGGATTCAACGCTAGCCTCTCTCCGTCTCTGTTCCTATTTCTCACGCACACGCTAATCAATGTGTCTTTGTACGTCCCTTTCTCAGCATTCGCGGTGCATGATGCATCTGTCGTTAACGGCAAAACCACTACAATAAGCCCAACCGCACAAATTACGCGAGTAAATCACCACAACACTCCCTGTACACAGCTCAATCAACACTCTTACACACCTGCTGGTAGACGGACGGGAACGTGCCGCCCATGATGACGTTGTTGTCGCGCGAGTCGATCTTGGCGTCCAACTTAGATCCCCGGATGAGGTCTACTATCCACTTCTCGGCTGCTTCCATCTCCATCCCCTAAACAGTATCGTCATTGCATCATTACATGGAATCGTTCGTTATCATTTCCAGATATACAGCCCAGAGTATCGTCACTGTAATTATTATCGTCTATCGTCGTCATTATCATCTCCATTCTCTAGTAGTATCGTTCGTTGTCATTGACCGTGACTGTAGTTGACGTTGGGGACAAAAAAACAATGAAAGTTTACGTGGCCTTCCTCCTGTAGGATTTCGGCTGGCGCGTCCAGAAATATACCCAAAGGCGCAAAAACTGACGTCCAGAATAAATGGGACGATACACACACAAAGACAAGGCGGATAGAGAGCCGCCCCGTACACGAAGTGATGAAATCATCATCATGGGAGAAACGTATGATGCGGCAGCAGTGCTGGTGGTATTAAGTTTCCTCCTTGCACCTCAGGAGCAGGACACTGTTGTCGTCCAACTCCTTCGTCCCCCTTGGAAAAAGAAAGCGTCTTCGGGTTTCTTATTCCGCTATAGATAAAGACTGACGTATTTTCCTTGGTCAGCCGGTTAGCGCGGTCGATGCTCCCCTCGAAGGAACAAGACACACACACGAGAGGGACCGGAGCGTATTCTAGACGTACAGCACTCTGAATACACACCATCTTATCGGCGAGCATGCCGATGTCGATCTTGTGGTGTATGCGGCAGTACGTCTCGAAGATGAAGTGGCGGGCCGCCTCCATGAACTCGTCCGCGCAATTGCAAAGGAAAAAGTCGCTCAGCAGAACCTGTCAAGACCCGAAAACAAATAATCATGGCAGCGACGACCAATTGAGCGGATGCGAGGTAGTCATGTGGTAATAAGGCGGGTTTTCTCATTTCACACCGTATTCTATTTCGTCATACACCCGTATCCCACTTCTTCAATCCAACTAATTCCTCCCACGTGGGTCTCACCCGTACGCACTCATCATGTTTTTTCTACAAAGTCGTGTCTCGCTTCACGTACGTTATTCCATTTCTCCAAACCGTATTCCATTTCGTAACATTCTTCCCATATTTCGTCATACACCCGTATCCCACTTCTTCAATCCAATTACTCCCTCCTACGTCCGTACCCACTCATCATGTTTTAAAGTCATATCTCGCTTCATGTACGTTATTCCATTCCTCCAAACCGTATTCCATTCCGTGAGATTATTCCCGTGTGTCTCACCCGTTCGCACTCGACCAGCCGTGCCTGTGCGCCATCGAAGTCGAAGGACACCTGAAGCCCCTCCAGGAACTGCCAAAAAACAAAAAAAAATCAGGATGACAAGAAACACACAACGCGATGAGGGCAAAGCGAGACCAAAGGTCCACAGGTGTTTGAGAGACTAGTTTATGCATCAACACACCGTCGCTTGCTGTGTAAGTAAGAGCTGTGGGGTTGTTTTTACAAACACTGCTGTGGTATACAATACACACGTCAGAATGAATGGCAGGGTGTAGTCGTTCCCAATGAAAACACGAGGCCCCTCAAACAGCAAACCCAGAAGCAGCAGGCATACCTAGGCACCCAGTGGAGCGACCGACTTCATTCAAACCATTCACACACACGTAGGACAGATCCGATCCCCACAGATCGAGCGAGCTCAAGATCTGTCGTATGTGTGAAAAATGTCAATTCAGTAAGCATGACCTGCTGTGGTATGCATATCATGTATGATCACGAAACGCTCTTGACTTCGAACAACTCGTTTGGTTCCTACAACACATATCTGCACCATGCCAGAGAGTTGATTGGCGCAAATATTGTCCATCACCAAACTCGTCATGCAACTGGCCAGCCAGCCAACACCAGCATCCGATTCCTCTTCGGTCCTCACGCCAACCAAACAACTTCGAAAAAAAAAAAGCTCCTACCTCGGTTACGGGGTCGGTGTAGGCGTGCTTTTCGTGCTCCAGCACACGCATCAAGTCCCGCATCACGTACTTGCCTCCTCCCGCCCCCGCCTGCAATCGATGAACAGACCACAGAGATGTCGTGACGGCACAGGCAGATAGACTTTGTATCCCCAAAGGTACTCGTGTACTACCATACCCGTTATCCTTTCAGCGCGGCTGTGAGACTTGAAGCTGAGGATTTGATATTTAGACTCTTGATAGACTCCTTCCAAGCATCATCCAGCCCTATTTCAGCAGCCACCTACAAGCATGCCATGCCCGATACGATACAATCTCGACGGACGAGAGCGGCCGGACGATCTATCAGCCACCACCACCACCCGCGAGCGACGGGTCTGGCCATGAATCTGAAGGAACAAAGCAAAGGTGTAGCAGCCGACTACTACCACCGGTGACATGACGCAAGATAGCACACCCCCTGGACCGTTTTCGAAAGCTCGACTACTCCGCGGCGAAGAGGGCGCATAACATGAAACGATACGTTTTCAGAAAGCTCTCGACGAGACCGCTCCAACGCCGCCGTTTCTACACTGCCACCACTTCTACTGGGGACAAACCGAGCTTTGAAAACCGGTCCAGGGGGTGTGATATCTTGTGTCATGTCACGAACGGTATGGAGAAGCTATAGGGCAGCTTCAGGCACCGTCAGCTACGGCGGCGGCGGGGAGGTGTACTCATGTAAGCGCATGCCGCAGTCACTAGACCGTTGACCTCGCATCCGTACAATGCCGGGACGGAGCGATTTCCCGGGCTTTCGCCGGCCCAGGCCACGTTTCAGGGAGGCGAGGAAAGGCGAAGAGGGGGAGTCAGGCGATGGGGTGGCCACAACGCAGGGAGCCGCTCAGTCACTCCGGGGGCACGGGTCGGGGCACCGACCGGTGGGGCCAGGAGGATAGGTACCCGGGATCCCCTCCGCTGACCCCCCGCTTCGCTTGGGGGGTTCAAGACGTAGGCGAACACTTTCGTCTTTCAAAATACATGTTTAGAATATGCAAACCATGGTATGCACAGTATTTGAAAGGGTATGCATAGCCCCTGGAATGCAACAAAAAAAAACAGAAAAAAATGGAACGCGGTTTTTTACAGTCATACCGTCAATTACCTTGGTGAGGATGATCGCCGTCACCAAATACCGTAGCAACCAGGGGCAGTTGGTCTGGATGGCTTGCATGAAGGGCTCCTCGAAAAACAACGTGACAAGCTCATCCCTGTCCCAAGTATAACCCGGTCGTGATCAATGGAGGAAAGGAACACACACCAAGCGAAAAAGAGGCGGTCAAGGATGGTTGGCCAGTTCATTTCTGAGGAGGTCTATTTACGGTCTGTTAGTGACCCTTTAGGTCTAACCGGTGCTGAAGGCTAGGTCTAACCGGTGCTGAAGGCTAGGACACACCGCGCAAGGCTAGGACACACCGTGTCCGACCTAACCCAAACCCAACCCTAACCCTAATTCGCGGCCTAGCGGCCGCGAACTGGCGAGAGGGCGGCGTTCTCGGAATGCGGAACGGCGAGAGGGAGCTGGAGAGGGTCAAGGCTAGGAAACAACGCCTGGCCAATCAGACGGCGTGAAACAGCTTAGATACATAGGAAGAGTCACTAACAGAGTGCAAAAACTGCTGTTTCTGAGTTTCCGAGCCAAATAGTCAGATAATGAGAGCGCCAACGAAGGAGACAAAAAAAAAAAATAGATACAACGAGCCAACGACGGCGAGGGTGTAGGTGTTGGTATCTTACATGTCGTGCAGCGTGCGTTAGAGCAGCGTGCGCAAGAGCCAAGGGTGTGTGGTGCATGTACGTATGCTCCCGTTGGCAAGCTAACCTACCTTCCGTTGGCGTGGTTGAAGAAGACGAACAGACTCCAATGCAGAAGCCAGCTCCTCTGCTGCAACTGCTGCAACGGGGGAGCGTTGGTGAACTCGATGCAGGACTTGAGCTCTCGCAACAGGGTCAACGCGCCGTCCCAGTTAGCCACCAGGATCTGCGTGTAACGAAAGTTGAACAAGTTGAACAAGCAACAGGCAACAAAAAGCAGCATGTTGTCGTCATTGATCACCGTCATCACGATATTCAACGCCATCAACTCACACCATCAGGCCACAAATACCGTCGCCACGCACCACTATCCATCATCATGGAGCATGAACCCCAGCATTACCCAACACCTGCGGTAAATTCCGTCGTCGCACAGCACCATCTCATGCCGACTAGTCTACTTCACCCACAGATGACAGCGGGTGACCCCGATGGTGATGATAAAAAACAGCGTCCAACGCAATCGTTGGGTACCCGATAAAAACAGACCAACTTCTCCCGACACCATTGGCACGCACGAGGGGACTGGTGTGGTCCCAGCCGCGTAACTCCCTTCGCCTTTGCCCTCTTTGCCGCGACAGGGTGAAAATTGATACGGTACGGTACATGGTAAACCCGTAAGAAAAAACCAACTTCGCGGAAGAACAACCGCCACGGCAGATACGACGCACAGAGCAACAAGTTAGCTATATCCAGCCAGGGGAAATCCGACCAGGCACTGCACGCAAGGGTCTGCAACTACCAAGCCCCCAATTGCCACTCGACCATTGAACCACGCCCAAGCCGCGCATCGCTCCAGCAGTTACCATCTTACCTCGCAAGCAAGCCGGCCCCACAGAGCGCTCATGCCGTTGGGACCGCTGCCGGGGACCCCGGGGGTCTGCGTGATGTCGCAGTAGCTCTTGAGGGCGGCGGCGGCGGCCACGTAGTCCCCGCAGTCTGACTGAAACTTAGCGTTCGCGTAGTACGACTCCAGGGCTGAGTCCTCTAGCCCCAGCTCGCCCTTGATGCCCTGTGATGGTGTGTGGGAATGTGTGTGCTCAAATTCTTAGCATCGACCGCGTTAACCGGCTGATTAACCCACGACCAATGAAATTACGTCAGTCTTTGTGCGGTTGAACACAGGAAATGCTTCGAAAGGCCCTGATCTGGGACCTGTGCGTGTGCGCGCACGTGTTTCTTTGATTAGTATCGACGGCGCTAACCGGCTGAACACATCAAGACGCCAGTCTGACATTGAGACAAAACAACGTGGCAACGATTTCTAGTCAAAGGGCTCTATGTGGATATGCGTGTGTCAACTTTAAGCATCGGTCTTGCTAACCGGCTGACCCATCACCAGACGTCAGGGCGTCAGTCTTGTAGGGGCATGAAACGCAGAACGTGTGCGCATTCGCGCGTGTCTTGTATTTGGCCGCTTCTGGATGTACCAGGTAGCGTGCAAGCACACCATCCTCTAAAACAGTGGAAGTACTTAAGATACACCAGCTGCTCCTGTCGGCTTGCCGTCGACTAAATGGAGCGGCCACAACGAATTCGGAGGTGACGTCCCGACCTTACAGAGCCCCGTAAGTCACTTCGAATTGAGTACTCCGGTTGTTCGCAAATCGCAAGAATCAGAGCAAGGTCAAGAAGACAACTGCCACAACCAACAACCCAAACCAGGTCTTGTTCCGCCTGTTGTAAGTGGTAACACCCTACCGCCTCAACAATTGACCTCTACTACTGCCATATGACGTCCCTTGCCGCAAGCCGAACCGCGTGTTGTGTAGTACCGCACCTTCCAGGTGAAGTTCTGCTCCTTGATCAGCTTCTCCACCGAGAGCTGCTGCTGGGTGAAGCTGGCGGGGTCCACTTGGGTCACCGCCGCCTCCTCCACCACAGCCTGAATTTCTCGAGAGAAACAAAACAAACAACAATCAAGAATCATGACAAACAAAACAATCAAAACGAAGCACACGGGAGGTGGGCATTCCGCGTGTCGATCGCTGCTGCAGGGGTGCGCCGACAACACCAGCAGTCGTACAACCACCGTTCAAAGGCCCCGGGCGAACACAACAAGACAACCGGGCGACAGCCGTGACAGTATCACCCTGCGCAGGCGAGGGTTAATACCAACTGCGCAGGCTGACCCAACCGCAAAGGGCATCATAACAGCAAACAATACAACAAAACGTGTTGCGTTACCCACGCACCTTGTCGGCGAAGACCTCCGTCAGGATGCCAGCCTCATCCTTAAGGGTAGACATGCGGGCGAACACCTCCGCGCGACGTTCCACCATGTCTGTCGTGTCGAGTCAAGTCAGCCCGACAGCCGGATACGGGTCGCGGTACGATCGCGGATGTCAAGCACAAACAACGAATTTTCACAGCATCATCTGCTGCTGCTATAAGACGCGAAATCATCGGTTCTCCAGCTGTGCCAGGCGTCAGCTTCTGCCCGTCTTCGGGAAGACAACAAGCAATCAATAGCATGCGAGGTGAACGAAAACGCACCGGTATACCCTCACATCAACAACTGCAGCAGCCAAGCATACAGGGACTACTATGACACCCTTTTGGACGCAGGTAGCCTTGGTGCCAACCGTACTGCGCTCCATACACAACGACAACCCCCACCATTCCCCTCTCCTCTCGTCTCTCCCCCCCCCCCCCCCC